GATTATAACCTTATTTCATTGTTATTAACAAATGTAGTGTTAGAGGAGATAACACATACAACTTATAACCTTATTTCATTGTTATTAACAAATGTAGTGTTAGAGGAGATAACACATACAACTTATAACCTTATTTCGTTAGAGACATAAAAGCGAATAAGCTTAACTAAAAAACGGTTAACAAATAACCAAATCAGTCACTTGTTAACAGAAAAACAACTTAATACACCATAGTATAGACTGGTGCCAAAATATCGGTGTTTTATTGGTATTAAACCTTTTGTCAACATTAATATTAACAAACCGAAATACTGTTCGGTGCTTTATTGGTGTTAAACCTTTTGTCAACAATAATATTGTTGCGTTAGCGAGGTCACGTGACTAGTATCACGCCACTTCTTTCTCGAACCTTCGTGAATTGTCGGGAGATTACTAGATTGGGGGTAGGCTGGTATATATAAGATGGTCACAACGTGACGGGACAATGTGTAGTTAATGAGTAATTGAATGTATGCGAACAAACTTTGTTGGCCACATGAGACGTGAATTATAGTGTTGTTACAGAGCGACTGTTGAAATTAAGTGTGTCGTAAAGTTGTATTCGGAAAGAATAAACCAGTTTTATTTAAGAAAGGACTTGTGTCGCTAAAGTTTCGTCGGAACGAATTTACGGAAAATTAACTAACGACTGGAGGCGTAACAATATTAACAAACCGAAATACTGTTCGGTGCTTTATTTGGTATTAAACCTTTTGTCAACAATAATATTAGCAAACCGAAATACTGTTCACGACACAGGAGAGGCAGTCTAGACTAATTAAAATTTCACTGAAGTAACTGTACTCTTCAAACGATATGGTTGTTTTAATAATCTCGTAAATACAATGTGGCAGGTGCTCATAAAAAAAACACACCAAAAAACATGATTTTCAAGTTACGTTCGCCAACACTAGAAATATTGGAGCTTCGTGTCAAATACTTAAATAAAGTATATATATCCAAATTTGTTGCAGACGAGAGTCCATTAACTCACTAACGTATTCTGAAACAAGTTAAATAAAAGCAAATCTATAGTCATAATAAAGCTTATAGGAAGACAGAAACCGCATGGCAAGAGCCTCGTCCTTCTTAGACAGATCATAGCAGCTTATTCAAAACGCAAAATATGTTTTGTAACCTACACAAATATATAACTAGCTTGATTTAAACCATCATTGCAAATGTGTGTGTGTGCAAACAAAATTGGAAAGGTTGTTGTAAACATAAAATCCACAAACAGCACTTTTTTTATAGTTGTTGCTGTTGTTATTGTTGTGCTTTAACAATAAAATGTTTCGTCTACACTACCAAACAGCGGCTCGGAAATAATCGGGTAATACAACAAAACAACTTGTAATTTAAGACATCATGAACTACGATAGTGGTTCATAATAGGAACTTGCTCAAACTCTAATAGAACATTCGGGCAAAAACCACCTTAAAAAGCAGACTTATTCTTGAAACAACACTCAAAACCTTCCTTTTCAATAGTTAAGACCACTCAAACATTGATAATAGGCAAAATAAATGATTTAAGGATTGTTAGATAAAATAAAAATTTTCCCACTTGTTCATATTATCTACATATATAAAGACGAAATGTGTGTTTGTTTACACCCTAACTTCTCTGAGCCTATTGGACCAATCTCAACCAAAATTTGTATGTAAACACTACAGACTATGTGGAATGTCCTAATGAGGTCAAAATTGAACTTAACCCTATTTCTATTTTGTAAAGCCTCTTTGTTAATTATTCCCACCCTATTGAGTCAATCTCAAACAATCTTGGCAGGTTGACACTTTAGACAATGTTGGATATTCTAAAAGTATTCAAGGTCAAAGTATGAAATTTAGTGGACTGTTTCTCAAAAAAACATGATTTTCTTATGGTCAATGAGATGTAGGGTGTTCAAGGGTGGGATCACCTCAAAATATTTATTTTTTGGTAGATCGAAAGCAAACTGCAAATGTTGTTTATGAAGAAGCTTTGTTATAATTTTAAAATTTTGTGATAAATTAGATTTTTACAAGAGTTGTCTAGGCTTGGTAAACTTGATTTTTACAAGAGTTGTCTAGGCTCGGTAAACTTGATTTTAACAAGAGTTGTCTAGGCTCGGTAAACTTGATTTTTACAAGCGTTGTCTAGGCTCGGTAAACTTGATTTTTACAAGCGTTGTCTAGGCTCGGTAAACTTGATTTTTACAAGCGTTGTCTAGGCTCGGTAAACTTGATTTTTACAAGCGTTGTCTAGGTTCGGTAAACTTGATTTTTATAAGCGTTGGTTAGGCTCGGTAAACTTGTTTTTACAAGCGTTGTCTAGGCTCGGTAAACTTGATTTTGCAAGCGTTGTCTAGGTTCGGTAAACTCATTAATTTATTATCGTTATTTAGCTCCTATTTCTCCTGGAATATATATATATATATATATATACTGAATTCAGATATATACGTTGGACTGAAGAGGGCACGTGACAATGTCGAGTCTTGTGTTCATATACATTTGGTGTTGTTCAGTTAATGTCGAAACTATTTTATATTGCTATATTTATCCTCTTTTTAGGTATCTAAGAAAGAAAAAAAGGAAAGAAAGAAGACTTCTTTGATTTTATTATCCACCAACATGAAATGGCTAAAAAGGTAATTGATTTCCTGATCGTATATTTCTCTAATTCCAGAGATTTTTATCTGTAGATAATAGGAAGTCTGTAACCAGTGAATAAGAAATACAGATACCTATATTACTTGCTCTTCTACACTAAGCCTAAAACAAATTTTAGAAAACAAGACAAACATTATTAAAGAAAATGACGGTCTGCAACATGTGGTTCCAAAAATTAACTTAATATAGACTGTTAGTAATCGTAGGACAATCTTAAGCCTCTTTTGACAAAAAACAATTTAAAAAAATTTACAAAATAATTAAGAAAGCCTTTTGGTCAAGCGTGTACGAAATACATTGAATTACATGAGACGTGTATGGCTACAATCGTTAATCAATTTCAAATTGATAAAGTGGAACGATCAGTTTGGGGTACTAAAGAGACCCCACGTAAGAATTCTAGAACAATGCCACAAGAAAACACTATACCTCTTT